GGGGGCATCTTTAATACTTTCAACAATAAAGATGAATTTTAAAAACTATTTGAATTTGCATTGTCAGCATATCCAAAGGCTTTTATTTTGTTGTTTGTTTGTTTAAAAAAAAGACTGGATCTCTAGTTTTACTTCTTACCAGAACTTCAGCATGCTTTTCATTAGGAATTTATTTTTTTTTTTTAATCAAAAAGTTTCCATTGGAAAATCTCTGTATTAAGCCACATCTCTTCTCAAGTATCCTAAAAATTCCAATAATACAGCTCAAACTCTTGGGATTTGTATTATGATCACTCTAGAGCACACCGACACAATTTTCTAGACCATTTGTAGCATCAAGTACCAATTGGGTTCTGTTCACACTAGTTCTATTCACACTAGTCAAATACTTAAATCTATTTTACATTTCATACCTACACTTTCCCCAACACTTTAGAGTAATATACTCCTTTTCCTTCAAAAAATGAAAATAAAAAAATTGAGTAGATCAGACTTCTATGGGTTACTGCACTCCCTGAGAGTATCCCTGGCCAGGATAGAAAAGCTAAACCACCAAAGTAAAAACAGCTCGCTTTCCTCCCTCCCTCCATCCCTTTGTCTCTTCCTTTTTTTCTTTACTCAACATGTACATGCAGTATCTTTATGGTTCCAGGCGTTAGGTCAGGAGTATCCTGCGCCCAGTCATTGCTGGGGACATGGAATAACTCAGGGATCCCAAAGTCAGATTTCTTGAAAGGGTGTATCTTATTTAACACTTATTGAACATTGACATGAATTCTGTTCCTCAAGACACTTTTACAAAAGACATTTCACTTTGGTATGCAATTGTGGCAGCCTCTTTGGATGACTCAGCAGCATTTTATAAAATATTCCATCCAAAATTGTATGAATTAAATGTGTTGTACTCTTTGTTAGAGGAAGCTTATTTTGATGGATATGATACTTATTTAATAATTCATGCCATGTACTTTGGATAAAAACCTGAAAATGTGTCAGTAATGGGAAATTATTACTAACTTATTGCATGTCAGAAAAACCCCAAAAAAACACACCAATGAAATGCAGTGTAAGCGCACTCTAAAGAATCTGGTCCAGGAATTTGCATCTTTTAGGGTATACAGTACCTTGATATCATTTTTTCAGCAATCAGAATCTCTGAGTCCTTGTTTTACATGGTTTTGTGTGTTTTTTTGGTATCTCTAGTCCTTTGAACGAGTGTTGGTAGAAAACAAGCTGCATGGCCTCTCTCCGGCCCTCTCTGAAGCCATCCAGAGTATTTCCAGGTGGGAGCTGGTGCAAGCTGCTTTGCCTCATGTCCTCCACTGCACTGCAACCCTCCTTTCCAACAGGAACAAGCTAGGTTGGTGCACCTGTGTTACTTACTTATGGCACACCACCATCCTTTGTGTTCAACATTCACAATAGCAGTTATTGGGGATTTAATATTTTCCCGGGCATTGTGCACACATTATCTCATTTAATTCTCACCCCTCCCCCCCAACATGCACACATTACTACCACCGTTATCTCCATATTGCCAATGNAATATTTTCCCGGGCATTGTGCACACATTATCTCATTTAATTCTCACTCCTCACCCCCCAACATGCACACATTACTACCACCGTTATCTCCATATTGCCAATGAAGGAACTGGCTCTCTTACATTTTAATTAATTTTACAAGTAGTACATGAATATATATCCTCCTAAACATTAAAATGTTATAGGAAATCTAAAGACTCTCACCCATCCAAGATGAGTCCCCACCTTTGCCCTCCCAGCTCCTAAAGTAACCACTTCCACTTTGTGGTACTGTATGTATGTGCATGCATATACATAAAGATTGTTTTTCATTTTTAGAAATTTTGTAGGTTTCTTTTATCACATGACAGTCTATCCTAGCCATCTACCCCATGTTAGTGTGGGTGCTGTCTTCCAGCTAGTTCGTTCCCCTCATTTGGGTCTCTGCTCAAATGGTACCTTCATAGAGGTGCCTCTCCTGGTCACATTGCCTAAAATAGAGTAGCTGTTATCTTCAGAGTCTATGTTCTTAACCGTTACGCTTCCCATTTGGAAATATATAGTTGACTCTTGAACGACAAGTGGAGGGTTGGGGTTGGGGTGTGGTTAGGTGCACACACAGACATCCCACCTGCAAAACCCACATATAAACTTTAACTCTGTAGTCCGCCCTTGTATCTGTGGAATAGACCAACCACAGACTGAAAACAGTATTTTTGACCCTGGTTGGTTGAATCTGCAGATGCAAAATGCGAGGATAGGAAAGGTCGATTGTATTTACCTAAAAAAATCTGCACCTATGAATGGACTGGTGCAGTTCAATCCCATGTTCTTCAAGGGCCAGCCAACCGTGCTTGGTATCTGACTGAGGAAATGTGATGCATGCCTTTTCTCCTCCTATGACAGCATGTCATTCTGCAGACTGTGGCCTGTTAGAAAACCCCAAAACAAGAATGTGCCCTTTCAGCAGTGGTTGTAAGGGGTATAAAGAAATGCTAGTGCCTCCCAGGAAATCGAACCACAGAGCAAGGATGTTCTTCCTAGACCCCAAGTTGACATCCATTGTTCTGGCCACAGAGTTTGCCTTACCCTGGCTGTGTGGTTATCCCATGCAGGCCACCAGGATAAACTGGGTGTTGCTGAGACAAAGCTCCTCCACACTCTGCACTGGATGCTCCTGGAGGCCCCCCAGGACTGCAACAGTGAGCGGTTTGGGGGCACAGACCGAGGATCCAGCTGGGGTGGCAGTAGCAGTGCTTTTATCCATCAGATTGAAAACCAGGGTTCTCCAGGGCCGCCTTGCCAAAGAAGCTCCAACGACGATGAAGAGAATAACCGAAGGAAGATATTCCAGAACTCCATGGCTACTGTGGAGCTCTTCGTGTTTCTGTTTGCTCCTCTAGTCCACAGAATCAAGGTAAGCAGAAGGTCATGTCAGGCTGAGTCTTTTTACCCATTTTAGTTTTAGTTAGAATTTATTCTTTTTTTTAATTTAACTTTATTGTTGGAGTATTACAGGTGTCCCATTTTTCCCCCCAATTGACCCCCTCCACTTCACTCCCACCCCCTCCCCAGGCCTTCACCCCATTATTAACTGTGTCCATAGGCTATACATATATGCATATAACTTCTTTGGTTAACCTCTTCCCACCCTCCACCCCCTTCCCTCTTTCCTCTGAAATATGGTCATCTGTTGCATGCATCAATGTCTCTGGATCTATTTAGTTCATCAGATTCTTTTGTTCATTGGCTTCTTCTTAAAGAAGACCCTTCAACTTTTCCTGTAGTGCTGGTTTGGTGGTGATGAATTCCTTTAGCTTTTTCTTATCTGTGAAGCTCTTTATTTGACCTCTAATTCTAAATGATAGCTTTGCTGGGTAGAGCAGTCTTGGTTGTAGTTCCATATTTTTCATCACTTTGAATATTTCTCGCCACTCCCTTCTGGCCTACAAAGTTTCTGTTGAGAATCAGCTGACAGTCATATGGGGGCACCCTTGTAGGTAACTAACTGCTTTTCTCTTGCTGCTTTTAAGATTTTCTCTTTGTCTTTAACCTTTGGCATTTTAATTATGATGTGTCTTGCTGTGAGCCTCTTTGGGTTCCTCTTATTTGGGACACTCTGTGCTTCCTGGACTTGTAAGTCTATTTCTTTCCCCAGGTAGGGGAAGTTTTCTGTAATTATTTTTTCAAATAGGTTTTCAATTTCTTGGTCTCTTTCTTCCCTTTCTGGCACCCCAATAATACTAATGTTGGACCTCTTGAAGTTGTCCCAGAGGCTCCTTATACTATTTTCATATTTCTGGATTCTTTTTTCTTTTTGCTCTTCTGGTTGGGTGTTTTTTGTTTTCGCATGTTCCAAATTGCTGATTTGATTCTCAGCGTCCTCTACTCTACTATCGATTCCCTGTAAATTATTCTTCATTTCAGTTCGTGTAGCCTTCATTTCAAATTCGTACTTTATTATGTTATTGATTTTCTCAGTTATTTCCCTAATAGTCTGCTTAAACATCCTTATAAACAAAATTCTGAACTCTGTATCTGTTAGCTTGCTTGGGTCTATTTCATTTAGTTTCTCTTCTAGAGATTTCGCCTGTTCTTTCCTTTGTAACATGTTTCTTTGCCTCCACATTTTGGCTGCTTCCAGGTGTTTGTTTCTATGTATTAGGTAGAGCTGCTATGTCTC